GCCAGCTTGTGACTCATCCATCACCACTCTCTGGGTGCAGCCCTCCAGCCAACTAGTGACCCATTTGACTGTGTGGGTGTTGACGCCACAGTCCCCCAGTTTTTTAATGAGAACGGGGTGAGAGACAGTGCTGAAGGCCTTCCGAAAGTCCAGGAAGACTATGTCCACTGCTACCCCTGCGTCTAAGGATTTGGTGACCTGGTCATAGAAGGCTACCAGATTCGTCTGACAGGACCTGCCTCTAATGAACCCATGTTGGTTGCCCCTAAGCATAACCTCCTCCGCTGGCCCCTCGTGGACATGTGCCAGGATAACTCTCTCAAAAAGCTTACCCAGGATTGAGGTAATACTGACTGGCCTTTAGTTTCTTGGGTCCTCCTTCCTCCCTTTTTTGAAAATGGGAACCACGAGGGCCCTTTTCCAGTCCTCTGGCACCACACCAGAGCACCATGAGTGCTCATAAAGCCGTGTTTCTAGACGCGTTTCCTTTTGTCTCTCCCACCCACCTGTCTCTCTGCATTGACTTCTTGTCCCTTGCCTTATACATAGATTGGAAGCTCTTTGGGCAGGGACTGTCCATTTAGGGGTTTCTAAATAATAACCACACTCTAAGTGCATCCTTGATTGTAGTAAGCTAAAAGACAATTTCTTAATATGATATTTTGATCTGTATTATCAAGACACTCTCACTGGCACTCTCGCTGGCTGCTCTAAGTTGCTTAGCAGTGCAGAGAGGCTTCAATTTTCAGAAACCAAGCACCCACAAACCCAACTGAGAGCCTAGATGCTCAGCACCTTCCAAAATCTGACTCCAAGTGTCTCCTGTTGGGCACTCAGATACCAAGGCACCCAAAAGGAGAGTCTTTTTCAGAAACCATGGACATAGGCAGCTAGGACAAACTCAAACAGCAAGTCAAAAGTAGAGCCAGAAATGAAATCCAACTTTCCTGACTCCTGGTGCCTAACTCTCATAGGCTCCTTAGAATATCCCAGCTGTAGGTCTCATGCCCTTCAACTTACATTATGCATTACAAATCCACCACAAAAATGAATTAGTATGGCAGATTTTCCTGTAATTGTCTGGGCTTTTGTTGCTTTTAGACTAAACTAGATCTTCCCTCTTCCTAGATAATTTACTTACCTATAAAGCAATACTTGGGTAAGGTGCTGAAAGATATAACATGAGGTCAAGTCTGTAACAGCTAAAACCTATGGCTCAGTCGACCATTCCTGTCACTAATGTATTTGATCCCATGGGCCTATGTCTGATCCAACACCACTGAAAGTCACTGAAATCCACGGACTCACACAGGTGCAAGCAAGCTCAAAAGAAAGCCATTCTGGTCTAACCTATCATCTGACTTTTCCACAGACTGAGGAAAAACCTGAAAGCTCTGATAATAGTGCATCCTTCGTGGTTCATCCGGACAGTGCTGGCTATATCCAGGCCCTTCATCAGGTATACAGAAAGTTCCACCAGATACGACAAGTGGTTTTTGGAGTGTAAATTAAGTTTTTATGGCAGTTAACTAGTAGAGACTGGGAAGAGACTTAGATGAGGGCAGGTTGTCCCAGAGCTGCCACTGTCAGAGACAAGATATTGGGCTACGCAGAATGTGACCCCGATCCACTATGGTCATTGTGATGGTCCGACACATGCAGCTAGAAAGGGAGACTGCTGCAATGAGCAATGATTTTTTTCTCCATGTTAAGAATGATCATTAGCCTTACCTAATTTATAAATTGCAAACTAGATTATTTGCCTATTTGTATTTTTATGATGTGAACCTTAGAGGTGAAAGCTTTCTAGATGTTATTGACAGGTTTTGTTTAGCATCATTTTTCTTTGTCAGGCACTTGCAACAACCTCTTAGGTTAAATCCAGACCGAGTAGTAGTAGGTGCTACCACCTTGGAAGCCTCTGAACCCAAACCCAGTCTCAGCAAGAGTAAGTGGAAGGGACATGGGAAAACCAGCTCATTCAGAGGTCCCAGATATTATAGTCCCAACCTATTTCAGCAAATCACTGTAGAAACCAATGTGAAAACAAACTGGAGAGGTGCGGACTCCAGAACCAGCTTCTCCCAACTCAAAAATGGGGCACCTACATGAGAAGAAGGATAGCCTAAATGTTGCTGTCTGAAATATTCACAGCCTTAGCTAAAGAGATGGCTTTCTTTCCCAGAACTGATACCTGCTAAGAATCATAACCTTGCCATATTGAAATCAACTGCAAACCTCCCATGGATTTCATCAGGAATTTGATTTAACCCCATATATTCATCATTACGTGGGTGTGGAAGTCTGAACAGGGTCTTTAGTTCTCTGTGCTCCTTCCTTGGCAGTGTGAAGTTTATCAGTAAGATCCAGTACATTCACAGCCTGGAAGACCTGGAGCAGATCATCCCTATGGAGCATGTGCAGATTCCCGAGTGTGTCGTACAGTAAGTATTGCAGGGACCCCGCACTTGAAAGCTTGGCAACTCTGGGGTACTGCTGCCATGTCATAGCATCCCCTCGCTTTGTGAGGCCAGTCCTGTGGGCAAGGCAAAGGACTTGGATCCAAGCTGCCTGTGTGTTTAATTCTAGTTCAGACATATTTATTGTTTGGCTTGGGGCAAGCCATGAGTTCCCTGCGCCAGCTATAAAATGGGGAGAATAATTGTCCTTCCCCTTCGGGACATGATAACTTTAATGTAATATTTGTAGAGAGGACTGGCGCTGGAGAAGGGCCATCCTTTCACGCACTGAACTCCCCATTTTCATAGGATACAGATATTGTGTGTGGGCAGACCCCCAAGTTGTGTGTGCACAGGTCGGGTTCATGTATTTGTAAACATGTAGCGATTAGAAGTCATGGGAAACTCGTTTTTAACAATAGCTCACCCAATCAGTCATGGGTTCTCAGCTTTGCAGTCAGCTTCTTTGCCTGCAACGCTGGGTGGTGAGGAGGAGACCTCAGAAGTATGGAACCTGAAATGACTGTCGTTGTAAGATGAGTATGGGAAAGTTTGACAACCCCTGGAGCAGCAGGTCCCTCGCAGGGAAGTGAAAAATCTCAGGGGACTACTGTCAATGGAGACTGTTCCGTTTTCTGCTTCCTCTATATGCTTTTTGCTTCTGATTTTACCTAATTTGTAGAATTGACTATGGAAGGGACCAGTCAGGGAGGACTTAAGGACTTGACATGGTAACTCTTCCACTAACTTATCACATGGCTAGGACACTATGGGATTGAGGGAGCATGTTAGTGGGACCTCTGTCCACTCAGTGGGACTCTGTCCTTCTCCACTGACAACTGATTGCTTTAGCTGAGTGTCGTGTCATGGGGCGATGGGAGGGAAGTGGGCCCGGGGAATGGCTATATTCTTCAAGGGGTACAGCAGGGTTCCCATCAGAAACCCTACTAGAGCTAGCCCCTTTAGTTCCTCTTGCAGGAAAACAAGTAGTCGAAGGAGAGACTTCAACTCCATCTCTGCAAGATGAGCTCCACAGAATTTAGGGAGTCATTTTCCCCCTATAGTGGGGAGGCGGGTGTCTTAATAAATGGATCAGCAGCAGCCTTGGAAGGAAAAGTAAAGGACTCAAAGCTGATATCAGGTGGTTATAACCCTGGACTGAACAAAACACTAGAAAATACTATACAGGAAGCTGTGGTATGGCTTGAAGGAAACTACAAACCTTCTCTGCCTCCAAACATCTCTGGCAAAGGAATATTAGATCTGCTCCTGTATGTAAATCATCTTATTGAACAAATTACCTGCCAGGTTTTCTACAGGAACAAAATGCAGAACAGTGTCCTACTCTTTGTATACTGTAGCTACTGCCTGCACCCTTCAAAGTAAATGAAGCATTTACTAAGAAGCAAAGTAGACAGTCCTGACTGCACATTTACTGAAAAAGTATCTATTTTGTTGCAGATATGAAGAAGAGAGAATCAAAGCCAGGAAAGAAAGGTAAAATCAACTTTTTGGAGATGCAGAGTGGGAAGTGTGGGACTCATATTGTCATAAAGCCATTGCAATTTGTTTTGCCCCTATGAAAACTCGCAAGTTATCACCATTATGTTTTTTGTGCCTTATAACCCAGCTACCTGGGGGGGGGGAGGGGTTCTGCTTTTCGTTGATCCTACAAAGGGGTAGTTAGCTGTGTTAGTCTGAGGTCAGGCAGAATCAGCCAGAAGATAGGACAGGGTTCTGATGCAGGATGCAATCAATCTACAGATATCAATGGGATTTAAGTATATACTTAATATTTAATTTACGTAAGTGGATATGTTATTGAGGCTATTGTTGCCTGCTGCTGGGGCTGCTGGGCCAGTGAGGGCTGAGTGGCACCAGGCTAGCTCATCCCGGTTTCCAGGAATTCTAGGCCTTGCTTACAGAGGCTCTGATTCAACAAAGCATTTATGAATGTGCTTAACTCTAAGTATACTTGTCAGTTCATGGCTATTCAGCAAATAGAAGTCATTTGGACACATCATTTTCAATGATGGAAACATTTGACAAATCACAGGCAGCTCATGGAACAGAAGAATACATGAAATTCATCTGATCAGCAATAAAAGTGAATGATTTGCCTGGTTCTAATTGGAATACTTTTACTCCATGGCCAAAATCCAAAGCATTTCTGCCAGCCATAGCAGGAAGCAATTTTCATTATCTGGCAATATGTTTTGTGCTGAAGGATCTGTTGGAATAGGGCTATGAAGGGAATGTAATAGATGAGATTTTGTAAACACTAATTGCTGATGTAACGTGGTGCAATTCCATGGATTTCTTTGAAGCTGCAGTTGATGATCTTAATGGTGAAGCTGATCCACTTACCTAATCACATGCCCAGAATCCACAGTAACAGGCACCTTATAAATCCTTGTGAAACTAATAGTTGCTATTGCCAGTAGCCATCAAGAATGGTTTCCCCAGTTTCGCCTACACTTGTCTTCCCAACTAGAAAAGGAGTAAAACTGTTTTCAGTGCCACCTAAAAGAGGGCTAGGGGAAATCAGTTGTTTGCAGCTATTGCCAAGAAGCAACCAGAGTAGAAGGGCCCTTTTACAGTAATAAGGCAATTGAAAAACTGATGAGTATTTCTAAAAATTATGTTGATACGCTCCTAAATAAAAGTCTACTTACCTCTCAAGGCTCATCTATTCTCAATTATACCACTTAACCTATACCTCTGCAATCAAAGTGATGCAACCACCCCTCTGCCACCACAGGTTGAAGGCATTAATATCAGTACAGTTTATTCCTGTACAGAAGAGGGAATAAGCATACTCCAGTATAAAACATCTTTACAACTGGTATAACCACATCCACAACTAGAGGCTGTAGTGATTTAACCCCTTTAATGCAGACTGTACCCAAAACAAAGTAGTTATGACAGTACAAAACTATATATAGATCAGGGATTGGGGTCAGAGTCTATCATTGTCATTGAGCAGGACCTGGAAGAAGTGCCATTGACTCATGGGCTGGGTCCAGACATGCAGACATGTGTGGTTTGTGACACTGCACACCTCTTTGCGGTGCCACAAACCACATACCCGGCACGTTAAAATGTGCCCCTCACGGGGGCAAAATGTGCTACTAGGAAATCCCAGTAGCAAAAAAAAGCAGCATGTGCCACAGGAGCGTGCACCAGCAGACACAGAGGCTCAGTCCTTCTAGGAGACCCTCTGGCTGCCAGCCAAAGTGTCTCCCCTCCTCTAAGTCCACCCCAGCTCCTCCAATACGCTGGGAGCTGGGAGGAGCAGGGAAATGGCAGTTTCCTCTGCACCAAAGCCCATGTGCAGGGGCATGCACAGAGGTAAAATGTAGCGCACAAATCTGCTACTTTTTTTGCCACTGCAAGCACCCGCCCCTGCTTGTGGGGATGTGCCCATGGGGTGAAATCTTGGCCCCACTGAAGTCATTGCAAAATTCCCATTAGGGTCAGAATTTCACCCACAGAGTAAAACGCTATTCAGCAAAAGTAAAGCTACCAGAATCCAGTTCCATGCTATTAGAAGTCATTTAGAAGTGTTCATGTAAATTGCTAAAAGCCAGTCAAACAAAAAAATATAAGATCCTCTGTAGCTCAAGAACATCAGCATAAAAGTTGGCTGAATAACAGTATGAACAACTTCATGGGAACAAGGATGACTCACCTGAGTAGAGGCTGCAATATCAGGATCATAATAAGCCCTTTACATCTTTAAAATTGTTCCCAAGTGGTTAACGTATAATATGCATGAGGTAGTGGAACAGTTTGAATCTACAAATTTTCATAGCTTTTAGGCCAAAATGGATCAGCAACTGTCACCCAGTAATTAATTTCTGTAGCAAGCTCTTAACTGCTCTTTAGCTATAGCATCTGTTTTAGAATAACATCCAAGCTTGATGGAAAGGCTGATTAATTCTATGCAGTAGATTTCAAATGTAATTTCTCCTTACAGAGCAGAAGAGAAACAAGATATGGCAGAAAAAGAAAGGTAAATATCCCATAGTTGATGCTAAGCTGCATGTGCTTACAATAT